CATAAATATTGATGAAGTTAAAGAGGAATTTAAATTATAAATTATAAATCATAAAAAGAAATTATCTTTGTTTAATTGAATTTACTAACACAATATTTTTTATATATAGAAAAGAGAATATAACGATAAAAATAAATATAATCATAAATATAACAACATCAAGCCTTTCTCCCACTACATCAGGTAGGCTTCATCAATCATTTTACTATGTTGTGTCCATTGTTGTATACTATTTTTTCATAAACATAATAGTCAATAATGAATATTTATTAAAGTAGTAATAATTTCATATTCCTACAATAAATTTTTAAGTACACATAATTATAAAGATATAGTGTTATTCTCTTACAAATTCAAGATGATGTATGCTAGCATAATTATAAAAATATTGCAATAATAATATATCTAGTCAATATGAATGAATGAACCAATGATAGGTGACCTTCTCCAAGTGATAAGTAGTGAAACACATGACTGATAAAATCATAAGAGGTGAAAGTGAGGAGAAGAGGCTAGGTCATCCACTCTAATAGTTTGGTAAACTTAGCCTTGATTATATGACAAATATGAATATTTAAGATTGGTATATAATAACGAGGAAGGTGGCATACTAAATGGAGAAGATACAATCTTCTATATTATTGAATTTATTATTCTTTTTGTGGGGGGGAGGGCAGCGAGGGTGGGTTGGGGTGGGTCAAATTAGAGAGTAATAAGAGACAATTATAGTAGTGACTAGACATAAGTAGGAATTAATTAAAGATGGTCATGAGGAGAAACTTGAGTAGAGGGCGATGTTAAGGAACATGAAATTGGAGAATAATGACATCACACCAATGATCTCCCATACTTCAGTCCATTGCTAATGGGTACTATGATGTTTAAGGGAGATTGATCTTAAAAAAAAAGAAATAATAAATCTTGTGGGATTGATGATGGCTAACTCCACTCTCCCTTCCAAAGTACAATCCTTGCATCCAGTAACCCACCCATCGGTGATCCATCATGCTACTGTGGCATCCACTTGTGAAGAGGGAAATGGGTAACACAAATCTACAATCAACGTGACCCAAAAACTTTATGGCTTGATAATTATTCCATGCTTGAGATGGCTGCTACTGCTTATGATGTGGCAAGGCACATACTTTGAGGTTGCAACATGGTACTTAATTATTCTAATGCAGCATGATCACATCATATGCCCCTATCGACTTCTCCTATTAATATACAAATAATAATAGTGGCATGAGCATCACAGTTTAGTGTGTGGCTTTATGCTATGGACACATCTGTGGTGCCATCGCAACAGATAAGTGAGTATGTGGATGAGGAGGAACTATTCTATATGCCATAATTATGGATTAACATGGCAGAGGGGTTGATGGTGAGTCCATCAAGATTAGACCCACTGTAGTTTGATGAGTTACTAAAAGTCTTAGAAGAAGAATTTACCCAGTGAATCAACTTTAATCATGTTATCTTCTTCCACAAATTTGGTTGAATAGGAAATGATTTTATTTATGCAATTGAATTATTCTTATTTTTAATCTTTAACATATAAATCTAAAAAAAGTGGCTAAATTCTTCTCTCCTCATAATTTATGGCTTTGTTTACTTGGAAAAATTGACTCTTTATGTCATAATGCGACTACGTGGATGGACAAAAATCCTATAAAAAGTTAATTATTTTTGACTTCATATTGGGGCTGTTTGGTATGCTTCATTTAGGGTGTAAGGTATTCCAAATGCAAGATTTTAAAAATATTAGTGTTTCATTTGAAGTAAAAAAAATGCAGAGTAAATTTTAGTATATTTGAAATACACTGACTAGTTCATTTTTGGTGTATATGGAATTCCACAAATTAGGGTAATTAATAAATACATTATAAATACACTAAATGCTGACCACTCCACATGGCCACCACCTCTAATCACCCCACCTTTGACCACGACCCCCTCAGACTATCGCTACCTCTGGCCACCACTACCTCTCACCACCACCTCCTTTCATCAATGCCACTTTTATTTAAAGCCACCTCTAGTTACCACCACCCCCTCTGATTGCCTCCTCATACGGCTATTTCCCCCACCTCCAACCACCACCACCATTACTTCTGGCAACCACCAGCCTCAATTGCCGCCTCTGGTAGCCTCCACCTATGGCCGGCACCACCTATAACTAGCCTCCACCACAAGCTACCACCCCTCCTCCGCCAACCACCACTTGTCGTCGGCCACTCAGGCACAACCTAATTTACACTTTACGTTGACAGTTTACTTTAAACCAAACAAAAAAGGTAAAATCAAGCAATCCTTTTGCAATCATCCAAACAACTCTAAAGTATTATGCATTCCTTTTTCAAGCAACCGAATAGCCCCATAAATGATTCTTTAATTATGGCCACTAATTTTTATAATCAACGAAGCAAAATATCTATGAGCATATGCTTCTTTAGCTAACTTCAAAGCTTCTATTTTTGTGTGTTCAGATATAACATATGAATTTCATTTGATCAAACTTAAAAAACACATTGGACACAATCACATGAATAATAAATTATTAAAGGTGATGTAAAAAAATTGCATATATAAAGTCATAATAATTTTGGCATCACAAAGTAATATTTAATTATTAGTCATGTATTCTTATAAAGCTTGACTTTATGTACAATTTTGGCATAGTATTTTTGAGAGCTTATTTTTCTCTCAAAGTTATCCAACTCCTAAGTACACCAATCATCAACCCTAGTCACTATCTCTGCTCTCACACTTATTGCTGCCTTGTTGCTCCTAACTTTTTTGGCCGCCTACACTATCGAGGACATAGTCATTGTCTCTTGTTAATGAAACTATTTTCTATTCATGTTTTCATGGCTTCCTCTCTTCCACTACTTAGGTTAATAATTTTGTTTTTATTTGTTCCATTCTTACTCAGGCAGCTTGCTCTCCTCTTCTTGTTAATGATATGTTCCCCAACTATGTTCCAAAAAAGGTAGGAAATAAGTTTCCATAGATTTATTTTAGATGGAGTGAGTGTCACTTTATATATTTAATTTTGATGAAATAACTGCAACCCCATAAGTTTATCTTAAATAAAGTGAGTGTAATTCCTTAATTGAGTGTAATTTATTATCTTTTCAATTTTATTTAATATGGATATCATATATCATAATTGGATGTAAAATAGATTACATTCTAGAAGAAGCGGTTTAACAGATGAATTTTTATATGGAGTTTAATTATTTATACATTCCACATGACAACATTAAATAATTAACATGAAACTGCCCCAAACAGATCCTATGGTTTGCTTTTGCTCACAACTAATGGTTTTTTTTTCTACCAATTATAAAATGTCTTCACAAAATTTAGCATATTAAATTATACAACACTGATCAATTTTATCATGTCTTCTATGTCATATATGCTCATTCTTAATTTACATGATTGTACATTAAATCAATATTTCAAGTCATTCACATTGTTAGTACTATAAAATGGAAAGAAAATTTATGATTCATGGAAAACTTATGTGCATATGCAAAAACATTTTTTCTTTGTGTTTTCTAATAGGCACATACTTTTCAAAATTTTTCTTTGATAAGGACTATGTGGTGGTTAAAAATTAGACTTATGTTAAGTCTCAACATATATTTTTGCTAAAAATAACATTACAGTGGTATTTATAAAAATTAGTTCAAAATTTTGTTTCAAGATAAAGCCTAGATCATATACTAACTATAACACTGAGGAAGGCAACAACATTGATAAATAGCATGAAAATAGTTACTTGAGGAAGGTATTATCAATTTTTTTTTTAGTGCCGGGGGGTGGGGCGGGGGGCGGAAGGTTTATTCAGAGGGGAATAAGAGACAATTATAGTAGTGACTATAATAGAGGAGGAATTAGTTGATGATAGTAGTAAGGATAAACCATAGTGGATGATAATGATGAGGAACATGAAATTGGAGATTAATGGTATCACGCTAGTAAAATCCTAGCCATAAGAGTCCCAAAGACTTATTCAATTATTGATAGGGTATTAAGATGTTTCAAGAGAGATTGGTGGATAAAAATAATAAGTATGAAATCTTTTGGGTTTGATGTTTTGGGAAAGAAAGAGAGTGAGTAGAGTGATGAAAAATAAAATAAGTTGATAGAAATAATAATGGTATTTAAGAGGATTAAATGTGCATAAGATTAGAGAGAGGGGAATTCAATCAAGGTTCTTATCCCAAGATATTGATAATAATAAGTATATCTTTAACTAATTGAACATGCTAGTATAAACGTTTCTAGATATGCAAGAGAAAAAAAAAGAAACAGTATAAAAGAGAGTATCCTCTATAATGAAGATGTATACATAATAATTACTGAAGAAACTTATTATAAATATTTATTACATCTGATATTATAGATATGTTACCCCAAGGAACCAATTAGCAAACCTCCCAGATCACTTGATGGTTATGTTTGTTATCATCTGCTTCGTAAGTTGGGCATTATTGACATTTCAATTATAACTCCAATTACAGGGATAGTGTTGGACCAACATTGAGGAGGATCTCAAATGTCTATATAAGTAGAATATTTTAGGCTTAATCATAGTTAAATATTATAAGTATCCTATATTTTCTTGCATGGGATCTGTTACAATAACATGTTATCGGTTTCATATATTTTCATAAATTTAAATTTTATAATTTTATATATATATATATATATATATTCTGTAGTTGAGTGAAAAAGAAAAAAAATTATAATCTTATTTATTCCCTTCTTTATGTTCATCATTTTAACATAAAAATAAACCTTCCAAATCTTAAATAGCTAACTCCACTCCCCCTTCCCAGGTACAAATCCCAGTCTCGAACACCAAACCAAGTGGTCCTCCCCCTCATTATCATGGAGTCTACTTCTGGAAAGGAAAATGGTTAACAAAAGTTTATAAGAGTGAAAATTGTACAAGTATGTATATCGGGATTTATTCCACACCAAAAATGGCCGCCATTGCTTATGATGTGGCCATGCTTACAATCCATGGGGACAATGCAATATTTAATTTTCCTGACATTATACGATCACATCCCATGCCAAAATCAAATTCAACTGATGATATTCGAGTAGCAGCAAAGGCAGCAGTAGAACAATTTAGTGCGAGGCCTGAGCCTATGGAAACATCTGAGATGCCACCACAAGAGACAGGTGAGTATGTGGATGAGGAGAAACAATTCAATATGCCACAGATTATACGATCAAATCCTGTGCCAATATCAAATTCAATTTCTGATATTGGAGTAGAAGCAGAGGTAACATCAACACAATTTAGTGCGAGGCCTGAGCCTATGGACACATCTGAGGTGCCACCACAAGAGATAGTTGAGTATGTGGATGAGGAGGAACTATTTAATATGCCACAGATTTTGATTGAGATGGCACAGGGGTTGATGATGAGTCCACCAAGATTTGGCCCTGCATAGTCTGAATAGCCATTCGAAGTCTTGGAAGATAATAATTTATGGAATTTTTATGAGTAAAAAGGATAATGGCACTTGGGCTATCATTAAGAAAATTAGCTTGGGATATTCTCATCAAATATTTCAATAGATATAATCTAAAATTGTTTGATTTATTTTGAAATAAGTATGATCAAAATTTTATTTATTTGTTTTTCATATTATATCTTAAAACTAATTATTATTTCTTAATCAACTTTCATTTTGCAACTTCCTCGTTATGTTAATTTTTATCAAGTTCAAGTTTTTTTCCTCAAATTGGGTTGAATAGGAAAATGCTTTTATTCATTCGAATGAACTCTTCTGCCTCTCCATCATGAATGTGCATAATTTTTTAAAAACTTTCTTCTTTCCTTAAGAACATACGGGCATATTTACTTGAAAGATTTGATTAGTTCATTCCATAATGGGGTTACATGGATGGAAAAAAAATTGCATAGAAAGTTAATTCTTTATGAAAAATCATATAAATTATTTTTTTATTATAATCATTTATTTTTATTTCACAACAAAAATTATAACCTATGAGCTTGAGTTTCTACTACAGACATCAAAGCATCTATTTTCCAATTTTCATTTATTAAGATATAACATACAAAATGCATGCGAGCAAATATACAGAACACATATGATATAATCACATGAATTATAAAATATCAAATGTGATGGGCCAAAAAATATCAAATATGGGGTCACAATGTTTTGGGCTTCACAAGATAATATTTAATTATTAGTCATGTATTCTTATAAAGTGTGACTTTAAATTTTAGGCATAGTTATTTTGAGATCCTCTTTTACTTGCAAAGTAACCCAACTCCTAATCACATTAACCATCAACCCTAGCCACTAGCTCCCTTCTCACACTTGTTGTTAGCTTCCTGCTCTTGAATATTTTTGGTTGCCTAGTAGAAGCCTTAGCCACTATCACTTGTCGATGGCACTATTTCCTATTCAAGTTTTCTTAGCTTACTCTCTTTCACTACTTTGGTCGAGAATTATATTTTTATTTGCTCCATCCTCACTTAGGCAACCTTACTTTTCTCCCCTTGCTAAAGTTCAGTGCCCCAAGTATATTCCAAAAAACAACATGGAATAATTTTTTCATAGATTTATTTTATACAGAAAAAGTGTAATTTTATTTGTTTATTTTAAAAGAAGCAAGTATAACTCGATAGGTTCATCTTATTGAAAGTGAATGTAACTCTGTTAATAAGTGTGATTTATCATATTTTATTTTATTTAACATGGATATCATATCTCATAATTGAATTTACACGCAATAGAATACATCCTACAAAGATAGGCTCAACAAATCAATTTTTATGTTAAGTTCAATTTTTTATAGGTGTCACATGTTAACAAAAAATTATTCTTGAATGTAAAATTTGATTTGCATATTCTAAACGTAAGAATCAAATTTTACAATCAATTGGTATAGTATGTGTGGATTTATATAAAAAATGATTTTTACCATATTAAATTATTCATATTAGACAAGTCATGGAGAATATGATCATAAGTCATATACAAATACACTTTATGCGGAGAAAACATGTAGTGACCAATTAGATTTGGAAGCAAATTTTGAGTGAGGTCGGGGGAGGGGGAGGAGACTTTGTTATTTTGCGGAATTTTAAGGAGTACACCTAAACCAGACAACAAAATAGGGAGAATCGGTATTTTGATGTTGGTGGTATGGTGCTTCACTTTGTACTAGTAGTACTATTCCTTCCACAAAGTATACAAGGAGGCTAGTAAGTTATCTTCATTTAATAATTTAATTTATGCATACATACGTAATTACATATTATAAAATAGTCATATTACATATACTAACCAAAAGTGGAATTTTAATGAGTACACCTAAAGTAGGCAAGAAAATAGGGTGAATTGGGCTTTTGATGTTGGTGGTATGGCTGCTTCACTTTGTACTAGTGATAATATTCCTTCTACTAAGAATAAAAAGAGTCTAGCAAGTTATGTTCATTTACAAATTTAATTGATTATATATATATATATATAATGTCATATTCTTAAATTATTAGATTACATGAAGTAACATAATAGGAAAACTTATGTTATGTAAGATTTATCAAAATTTTTATACATATCTAGAAATTTCCCCTAGGGAGAACTATGACGTTGTAATGGTAGTAGCACTACCCTCTCTATTAGATGGGCACTAGGAGTTTGGCATTGTGATGCTGAATAGGTGGCACTACAACACTGAGGTTTCTCTTTTAAATTTTTTAAATCTCTCCTTAAGAGCACTGTGGTGCTAGAAAATATTGATGTTTTAGTGCTCGATCAATATTTTTAAAAAATGCAAATCTATTATTAAATCATAATAAAAATATAAAAGAATTTCATTTCATTCATTTGGATGGGAGAATTAAGAACATAAATGGAGGAGAGATAAGAAGTTTTTAATGGTCTTCAAGACATTTTCATTTTGAAAGTATGAGATGCGCCAAGAGGGGAGTGAATTGGATATTTAAAAACTTCTTCAATGAAAATAAATATCTTTTAATAATTTTATGCAGAAGCGAATTTCATTCATAATAAAAAGATATATTATCAAGTTCACCAACGCAATTAATCACAATAAAAATAAATGCAAAAAATAAAGAGCAGAAATAACAAAGGAACGAACACACTAGATTTATAGTGGTTCGATCAAAACTTGACCTACGTCCACTCTCCGGAGGCACCCTCCAAGAATTGCACTAAACCTTAAGTGAATATCCTTTAGCCCTCACAACTAGGCGGAGAAGCTCTTACGCAAAATCACTTCCAACTTCCTCGGTGCGGCGGAGGAGTCAGGTCCTTTGACACCAAAGAGATCTTCTTCTACCCAAAACTTCCCTCAAGATGAACCTTGAATCCGATGGTACTAAGGTGCAAGCTCACCAGAGCAACCGTGTAAAATCTCCTTTGCACTCCCTTGAAACTCTCTCCAAGGATCTTCTCCCTCTCTCAAACTCCACCCTTTCTTCTCTCCTTTTTAAGTTCTCTCTTCAAGTTTTTTCCCAGAAAAAATGAAGCTTCAATGGATGCCAAAAGACCCTTACAAAGACTTATGAGAGTGCTTAAATAGAGGGCTAAAAAAACCCTAAAAAATTCAATTTTGCTGTCAAAGATCAACAGTACGATCTCAAGATCGTCCATTACGATATGCAGAAATTGACCTGTTAGTACTATATGAAGTCCAATTAGTACTGTACGAACAGTTCAATTGCATGCTCGTACTATACGATGACTTGTATGATGTGCTGTAAGAACAATTTAAAAAGACCAGTTCATTCGAGAAAAAGCATGGGATGGCCGAAATCATCTCGTTGATTATATCGTACGATCCAGTTCATATAGTATGATAAAAATATTAAAATTAAGCTATTTTGATTGACTAATTATAGGATTAAATTAGGTAATATTTTAAACATCGTATAATATGATCATGATCGTACAATACGATTAGAAGAAATTTTCAAATTCAAAATTTTGCCTAATTTAATGGACGGTGGGCTTTCTAATTATAATAGATCGTCTAGTACGATGTGGTGATTGTACTGTATGATTATTTATATTTTAAAAATATTTTTTTTCAGGAAGACTTGACTCAAGAAATGAAAATTACAGACTCATTTAATACAACAAATTTTACACAATCTTGAGCCTTGAATCTTCAAAGAACGGTGCATAGTGTACCTAAAATATTAGTCAACATAGAAATAAATATGCACTACAAATACTAGGAGGAATAAAAGATAATCAATATTTTTTGTTATCATCAAAATCATAAACTCGAAAGCCCGAGTTGTAACACATTTGTCGAATTAGTTAGAACTTGTAAAAGTTATGATATATTGATATTTAGCAAATCTTTATCGTATAAATTTTATATTACAAATTTACTCATTTTGGATCTATTAACATTATCATATTTAATTTCCACCAATTTTGAAATTTGAGATATGTTATCAAAATTTGAGATAGTAAAAAATGGTAATTGATTATTGCATTCGGTCTAGAGAAAATGAATGATATACATATTTAGCATAACATTTACATTTGACATGACTCATTTTATCATAACATGATGCTATGGTTCATTGTCGATATGATATATATAAAAATGAGAATATTGCATTGTCTTAGAACAACCTTTATATTTATTTTCCTCGTCATTTCACTTGTATAAGAAATTGATATAATAAATTGGATATTGAGTATAAAGTTAAATATTATTATGTTACATATGTGTTGCGTACTACGTGTATATAAGAAAGACTTCTACTATATAATTCAGGTTGACGGAGATATGATACCTGACGCAGGAGGGTGGGCTGATAAACTTTCTTTTAAATATATGTTTAGTGGTGTCAAGTCCATACATGATGGGAGGAATAAGGGGATATGATATGACTATGATTGATGATAGGCTAGAGATAGCAATTCCTATATAAGTTGCCTCCTAACTATGGCTTGTTTATAAAATTTTATTGGGAATGTGCAATCAATTGGATTATATTTTTGGGAACAATTTAAACATAGACTTTTAAATTTTTAGTTTTAAAATCGAACACATCATTATGAATAATATATCATATCGGATAGTGCTAATACCATTCTCTAATGAGTTCTGATTATGAATCAATGAACTTTATCCTGATTATTAAAGTCAAACTCAAGAGAAAATTACATATAACTCCGAAAAATCAAAATAATATTCAATCATACATTTGGCTATGACAGCTAGGGTACTTTATCACCTATTATTGTAATATGATCATCTTAGTGGACTACATATTGCCCCAAGGGGTTAATTACACATCTAAGTACAATAACTTAGGTATATTATCATTAATTTTATATCTAAATATCTTAATAACAAATTATATATCTTTTATAAGAATAAAAATACCATTTATTATTGAGAACTTTAAATATGAAGATAACGGTTA